ACTGCAAGGATTCATCTTCTTTGGTTCTTTCGGTAAAGTCACTTTACCGGTAAAGTCACTTTACCGAAAGAACCAAAGAACATGTTATGTATGCTGATGATCTGGTAATTGCTGCTCACTCAGAGGAGGAGTTGGAGGCGCTGCTTCTGAACCTGGAGCGTACCAATAAGAGGTGGGGCCTTACCATCAGCCCCACCAAAACTAAGCACCTGCCTGGGAATTTTGTATCATCAGACACTCCATCCCCTCACCTCCCAATTGGTGATGGGGCAGTTGTGGAGAGAGTGGATAGTTTCCCATACCTGGTCAGTGTGCTCATGACTGGCTCCGGTTTGACAGCAGAGGTCTCACTCGAATCAGTCGAGCAGCATTATATTTTCATAGGTTGCATAACGCTGTGTGGAAGCTGCCTGGTCTGTCACTCCACACGAAGCTTCAGGTCTTCTCTGCCACAGTCATTCCCTCCATTATCTACTCTTGCGAAACGTGGACCCCCCTAATGGAACATCTTCGCCGGTTATAAACACTTAGGCTGGCCTGCCTACGATCCATCCTGGGTTTAACCAGTTTGGATGTGTGAGAAGCTCACAAATCCTTGAAAGATCTGGACAAAGTTACATCGGTGAGCTCCCCTGGCAGGCATGGCTACATTGGCTGTGTCATGTAGCCCGCATGCCCAGCCACCGCATGCCTAAACAGCTTTTGTTGCGGCCAGATAGATGGGGATAAACGGGCGCGGCATGGGCTAGAGAGGAGATGGAGTGATATGGTACAAGTGGATGTGGAGCTAAGTGGACTTGCCAATGACTGGTGCCAGCGGTGTCAAGATCGGCCTCTGTGGAGGAGGCTCGTGAAGGACGCTACTGGGCAATTGGAGGCAGTCGCCCTCCAACAACAACGGAGGGCAGAGGAGTGACGCTCACAACAACGAGCTGAGCGCCGGATGGCTAAAACACAGTACGTTGGCACGGTCGGGGGCACAGGTGGTGCATCAGCCAGTAATTTCAGTCAGTCGACCCATGGCACCCGGGTCTGCCCTGTGACCTCCTTCTAGGGGGCATTCGACACTTGGTCGCAACGTGCACATAGCCCGGCACAAGCACCGTGATGGCGAATGGCGATTGTTGTTGCTGTTGTTGTGTTTTTGTGTGTTTGTGTTTAGAGTCAAATCTGACCACTGTTGAATATTAATGAAATGATTTCAATCCAGTCGCAAGAGCCACAGGAACAGCCGGGCTTGAGCAGTAGACACGCGTGTGACTCTTTGAGGTGGCCTGGTGCGACATTGGTGGCCTGGTGTGGCATTGGTGGCCTGGTGTGGCATTGGTGGCCTGGTGTGGCATTGGTGCCAACAATCCCTCACTTCGTCGAATTGTGTGACCTGGATTCAACCCCACGTCTCTGCCACCGCTGACAATGACGTGCCGCCGTTGGGAGTTGGAGTTGAACAGCACTGCCGCTGCTGCCTGCGTTCACCGGGAGTGCAATTGATTAATGGCAGTGGATGTAATTTGACTGTAATGCCTGATCGTGATGAATTCTCATTGTTTATTAAGAGGCAGGCGGTGTATTTCAAAATAACACAAGATGATGTTATTGATTTAAATAAATGCTGACTTTGATGTAGTGCCACTTTCTTGCAAAATGCATTATAGAGTTCAAGGTTGATAATTACAGATAATTACCGATCATTAATGGTGCAAATGATTATGGGTCTGTTAAAAAAAATTAATTTCCCACAAGTCATTATATTGAATAATCGCATAATTATTTTTAATTGGTAAAAATTGTCAACATTACTGCATTTTTGGGGAAATGAAATAAAAGTATGTACAAAGGCAAATTCGTTGGGTTTTCCGGCTGTGTTGTACGGCTCTCCGTTGTGGTTCCGAGGTGTTACCGCATGTTGTTCGGCACGTTGTCCGACGTTCCACCACACGTGCTTCTGCGCGTTGAATGTCGTGTCAAGGAACACGTGAACCAACCCGTGAACGCGTAAAAAAAGCTGTTTACGAAGTTTGTCAACGTAGCAAGCCACACGTGCAGATGGGATCACACAATGAGATTCTATCCCATAAGAGGGTGTCCGATTATTCAAACAGAAGCCAGCGCCAACTTTAATTTGTTTAATCCATAATACAGTTTTTTGGGGTTAGATCGCGTAAATATAAATGTGTCCTTAACCCCGACACCACCCAACACAGCAAATTAGTAAAGGTTTGTCACCTAAACGGAACATGCTAATTCGTTACTAGTACAGCACACCGGTGTGTTGGAGAGTACATCCACAACATTTAAAATCTGAGTACGACGTTTCGCCAGTAATTACAACTAGCATCATCAGGCGACAGCCAGATGAATTCGTTTCTCAATTATCTGCAGACCCTGTGATTACTTATTGATCGTACTTCACAAGATAACAGCGTCAACTGAAGCAACAATTTTTTTTATTTCCCACCAAAGGTCGCTCACCGGGAGCAATGCAGTGCCTGCCCAAACCAGGGGGGTTCTGCAACCATTGTTTTTTAAAATACACATATTGCCACACTATATTAGCTAGGCAAAAACAACAACACTGCCCTTCGTCTCCCGAGCCGGCCCTATCAATGAACTGCCACACAAATGGTTTGACAGACTGCAAATAGAGAGCGGGAGGCGCTGTGGGCGATGTGCCTATTACAGCAATGGCCTAAAAGGATGGATAAGGTAAGAGTTAGATCGACAATTGTTTAGCACCAGGACTGGGGGAAATTATGGCCCATAAGCTAGACACGGCTGATGACTTCGTTGTATTGGGCCTGCTGCCACGTGAGGCCTCGTATTTGGAACGGCCCTGAAACAATGTTTATCTGACGTTGCGAGCACCTTAACCGCGCTAATCGTGTTCTAGAGGGGAATATTTTTCACCGGGCAACGCGGTGCGTCTAATTTGTTTTAATTACGCTCGGTCATTTCTGTTTCTGCAAGGGCCTCTTTACGCTCGGTTATTATTGTATGACGCTAAGGCGTGTGTTGATGTTTGTACAATTGTGGTGACTAATTGCGCCTCTTCCGACAAGAAAGCCAGCATCAGCACTAAAGGTAAGTGAAAATAAAACTGAAGAAACAAATCTCTTTACTGTATGTCATTGTATTTTGTTTAATTTAGTATACAGTATTTTTACAATATACACTATTTCTTATTATTTATGAGTTTAATAATGCTTTCCTTTTTTTTAACCATAATTCGAAACACTGGCCGTATGGGAATTACATTCCTGTATAGTGTGCCGACTTGCGAACAATTCGACTTGTGAACGTGTCCCAGAAACTAATTATGTTCGTAAGTCGATTATTAATTGCACGTGGTGCTTAAGGAATATTGCACAGCTCATAAACGAGGTATTTAACGGTCGTAAATTAAACACATGCGAGTCAAAAACAGGGCAAGCGTAATATTATTCATAATAAAGGTTTTTGGGTTAGATCGCGTTTATTTATAAATGTGTCGTAACCCTCCACCACCTGACACGGCCAATCAGCAAAAAAAAGTGTCACGTTGACAAAAGACAAATAATTCACTACTTTAGCCCACCGGTGTGTTGAAGAGTGAATCCACATTTACAGTTTGAGTACGACGTTTCGCTGGTAAATACATCCAGCATCATCGGGCAATTCGCCAGAATGGTAAAGCCCTCGCTTGCTCCCGGTTTTATATAGAGCAGCAGGGTGACGTCATCACTTAATTCATATCAGGTGCAGTGATTAGAGGCCAAGGGGGGGGTATTGTAATTATATAATCGATTAGTAATCCGTCATTGGTTATGATTAGTAATGAGTTGTAGATTAGTAATTCTTTAAATCAAAATGTAATGTGTATTATTTAATAATACGCTTCCAGGCCGCACTAAGCCGGTAGCTGTCAGAGCGATTAAAGTTATTCTTGTTCCTCTCAATTTCAATGGATTCTCTTAGTCTTTGCCAGTAATAATTAGTTTTACACACCACTGCAACATTGTCAAAATCAATTGAGTGTCCTTGTTGACAAGCATGTTCTGCCACTGCCGACAGTTGTGTTTGAGATAATTTAATATTTCTCTGATGCTATTTTAGTCTTACGCTGATGTTACGTCCCGTCTGCCCAATGTAGCAGCTGCCACATGAACAATTAATCCGATATACACCTTCTGTTGATAGTTTAGGTAATGCGTCTTTAGTGCAAGATACTAGTTTTTGAATTTTGTGTACTGTACCAAATCTTACTGTAATGTTTTGCTTTTGCAAAACACGGGCTAATTTGTCAGTTACTCCTGAGATATATGGAATTTTTATTGTTTTAACAATCTGGTCGCTTTCAGCAGTATTGCTTTGCGATCGTGATTTGGCATTCAGTGCTCTGTTAATTTGAGCATTATTGTAGCCATTCTGTCGTAGTGCGTCTTTAACGTGTTTAATCTCTCTCACTAGACTCTCACCATCTGACACTGTTTTAGCCCGATGTATGAGCGTCTTGATAAGAGTGGAATATTAATAAGTTAGGAACATGTGCGTGTAAGCTCTGTATATTAGTCTATAGGTGACATAAACACACGCAAATCCCAAGATACAGTGCAAACATGTGGGAGCGATACGCGCCAGGAGAAGTTACGTCGAAGTGCAAGTAAGCTCCGTGTTTTAGTTCAATAGGGAAGTAAAGAGGTGGAGAATGAGCAGCCTTCCACTGAGTGAAGGTTGTCTTTCGGTAGCAAGTCTTGGTTGATGGAGTGCAGGGTACGTGGAGGGGAGTAGAGTGAGATGCAAGAAAAGAGGTAGGATCGGGTGCGTAGGATGAAAAAGTGCGGTGGGACGGGAGAGGTGGGAGAGTGCGTTTAGGAGAGCGGAGTCACGGACGAAGTGTCTCGTACCTTGACCGTATCTGAACACGAGCAGCGAGCATATGAGAGAGCGGAGTGACACAGCAAGAGTCTCGAGCATGGAGCGTGTGGGAGAGCGGAGTGACACAGCAAGAGTCATCATCGCACCGTGGTCGTGGCCGAACACGAGCAGGGAGTGCCGAGTGAGCGTCTTGGCGAGCTCGTCGTAGCGACCGCAGTGCTCGCCTGCGCCGTGCATCACGCACACCAGGCCCCTGCACGCACAAACAGGCGGCACGCCGCGCGTCTCACGCGGGCCGCCACCTCGCGCGGCGATCGTGGCGATGGGCAGTAGAAGAAATACGCGATGCTTCAAAAAAATGTTAACACTTGTATGGGACTATCGTTTTTAATGGGAAAAGAACGGATGATGATCAGGGCCGGATTAAGATTTTGTAGGCTCCTGGGCTGCAGGTACTGTGAGGCCCCCAGTAATATTTTAAAAGGGAAAACAAAGTTAAAGAAAAATCAAATGTATTTTTACAAGGCTAACAACAAATACAAATTCAGCATTCACAAATGAAATCACTTTTCACTTCATCTCTGGAGGCCCCTCCAGCTGGCAGAGGCCCCTGGGCTGCAACCCCTGAAGCCCCCGTGCCTTAATCCGGCCCTGATGACAATACACTGTAACACGATAACAGATGTTATGTTAATAGCTGCAAAAAGTCAAAGAGTCTCCCAGGTTTTTCCCTTTTATTTGGCAACAAAACAGTTTCTGTTAAGATGTTAAAACACCAAAATGAAACCTTTTACAAGGAATCATGTCCGCATTAACCACAATACTTGTGGTCAGAATGCAAACAAAAAACATACTCTGATAATTTATGCATTGTCCTTGAAACTGATTGGTCCACACCGGAGACAGCTTTCTTTTGAGCCTCGTCTCAAACGGTGTTAGACCAGAGGACGCCAAAAGGCGCACACAACACAAAGACAATGCACGATCAGAGTAATGACAGCTCGGGTGAGCATCTACATCATGGGACCTCCTTTGCCAGTACAAAAATATGATAATAGGTTTTCCCCCTTGTTTCTCGCAACAAAACAGGTGTTAAGATGTTAAAACACCAAACTGAAACCCTTTGTTGCCAGAAAAAAGGGGAAAAAACTATTATCATATTTTGGTACTGGCAAAGGAGGTCCCATGATGTAGTCTCCCGCTTGTTCGCCATCATTGTGAGCGCGTGCCTGGAATCTTCCATCACATCTCTTGTGGTTATTGTGCCAAATTCTCAGAAGTGTTGACGTTTTTTTTTTTCAAGCGCCCTGTGATCTTCCCGAGCAGACTCGCCCGACAGGGGACTTGATTCATGAATGGTCGCGTTATGGTCGCGCTGTATTTTTCGATTCCTTACGTGACGCCGTTGCGTTGTTTTGTACTTGCTACGTTGCTGTGCTTTATTTAATTTGCGTGTTGAAGTAGAACTTTAACACGCAGTAGGCTTTCGCGTCCAATATTATCCACAATGGAGGGGGGGGGGGGGGGGGGGGGGGGGTTAGATCGCGTAAATTAAAATGTGTCGTTAAACCCGCCACCACCAGACAGCCAATTAATACGGTTTGTTACATGAACAGAAAATTACAATTCCTTACTTATACAGCACACCGGGTGTGTTGGAGAGTAAAGCCACAACATTTACAATCTGAGTACGACGTTTCGCCAGTAACTACAACTAGCATGTTGTGGATTTACTATTAACGAACTGGCACCTTCTGTTTACGGGACAACCCTTACTAATTGGCTGTGTCGGGTGGTGGCAGGTTTAACGACACATTTATATATTTACGCGATCTCACACCCAAAACCCTCTATTATGGATGTTGAACTTCTTTCGCACCGCACATGGCCAACCGTGCTCATTGGAGGTGCTAGGGGCATGACAACAACAAACATAAAAAAACATCGAGCAGAATTCGTCTTTTCTTTTTGTCGTCTTGCTGACCCAGATGACTCTTGCAGACGGGACTCATCCTGGTCTCTTAAGCTCTCACGGGGTTTACACAACATTTACTTTAACACCACACGTGCAACAAGCAAGATAGCACAACATCGTATTCCGAAACCTCTGCACAGCAGAATATGACAACATGTTTCTTGTGAACAACTCAGCACAGGATATGAATTCATCACAAAAGACAAAGATCCCCCGTATATCCTTCACAGACTGTAAGGGACAAGTGCTGTTAGTGAGCACCTTTGAAGGCCGGAGGGGTGTGTTAGCCAGCACCACGCCCGACCGCATTTGTCTCCCGAGTGGCGATGTTTGCACACCGCACCAGGTACTCATTTGAGGCTGCGTAGACCTAGGGCAGGCCCAGGCCCGGTTCAGATAATCGTCACCGGTGTTGGCCGTGAGCGGGAAGAGAAGTTGAGTCGGCGTGCGAAGCCACTGCAGCGCCGCTCCCCACAATAAAATGATCACAACCACACGCACACACACACACCTGTGAACATCAACACCACCAGCCTCTGAATGCCACTCGCACATAATCACAAGCATCGCGAGTCAATGAGTCACTCTCTCACCAATGGCAAAACAAAACAAACATCGGATTGAATTCGCCAATGGACTTCATCTGCTGAATATCGTCTTGTGGTAATTACAATTTTTTTTTAGATTGACCGTCATGCGAGGACCATTGCTCTCACGAAGCGGGGTATAGTAGGACAGCGGTTGTACTTTGCAGGAGACCGGAGCTCACTCGAAATGATCTCAGAGATAGCCCTGCGATATCTACTTCCGTGGGCCATTCTCTATGCACGTTGAACCTCTTTTGCGCCGTACGCAGCCAACCGTGCTAATCGGAGGTGCTGGGGGGGGGGGGGACAACACAAACTAAACACAAAAATAAGTTTTAATAACTAACTTAACGGTCGTGTTGCAGAGACACTTATATCATCGTCGTACTGCTCTCCGTGAGAGTTCCGCCGAACGCATTTTTGTTGTTGTTGTTATTGTTGTTATTGTCTCACGACGTCCGGAGCGCGATCGGGAGTTAATACAAAAAATTGCGTAAAAAAATCACAGAAAAAGAGCAGCCGACGGGTGTGCGAAGGAAGCGCAGCGCGCGGGGTTCCTTCCCCCCCCCCCGCTCGCGGTGCGAGACAACGCAGGGCGGGGTGCCGGCATCCTCACGAGCGAACTGCGCGAATTGGAAGAGCGCGCTGAAAGGAACACGATCAGGTCGCGACGCGCGTGAAAACGTTAAACAAAAAAAACACAAACACACACGCAACCCGATATTTGTGCTTCTCAAGTGATGGAATTTTAATGTCATGTGTGTGTGTGTGTGTTTTTTTTAATCCGCAGGCTTTGGAGACCATCAACTCGCCGCACTTGAAAACCAGGCTTAGTCTTGGGCACTCGCCTGGAGTCGAACCCCGCACCCCGGGGGTCTCAGCAGTGCCAGAGACGAAGATATATGAGTTTTTAGCAATATCCACTAATGGACACTTTCATCAACAGATAACGAAGCGAACGGGGCCTTGTTTCATATAGACGCCATCAACATATGGATGAACGTGTGTGGCTGTGTGTGGGTCTGCAGGGTCCCCCCTCCCCCTCTGACAAAGCTCTGATTAATTCCACTCCTTGGCAGAGCAAACATTGGAATGATGAGGGATTCTTATCGAAGGTTGCTGTTCAAATATGCATTCATTATATATAACGATTTACTGTAATCGGGGTCGCTTGCCTGTAACCCTTGAGGGGAAATGGGGCTCGGGAGATAAGCCATCAAAGAGTAACCTAATTTGCCGTGATGGTTTCTGTGATTAATTCATGGTGGGCATTAATGATAAAGTGTGGCAGCACATGGCATGAGTACTATAACTGGGTATCTGCCACTAATACGTGAGGATGTTAGGACTCTTTGGGGATCGTGCATAAACCCGGCCTTGATTATCCGGACTGGAGCCAACATCTAAACCACATCTAGCTTAATAAAACATTTTTTTTATAGCTTTATCGGGGTATGAGCGCACGTGCGATTTCATCACCAGGTGTTGCTCGAGCCTCGCCTCCTCACCGATCTCCGTCGACAACAAAGGCAAACATCGAATTGGGAACGGTAATGCACGGCGTGTTGAACTTCCTTCGTGCCATACGTAGCCATCCGCGCTAATCGGTGGTGCGGTGCTGTGCGGAAAGGGGGGGGGGGGGGGGATAACGAACTAAACACAACAACAAGCGGTTCTAAAGAAATTAGTTTTAAATCTAGATAAATATAACACGATGGTCAATGTTACCAATAAGTGGAGCTCTGAAGCTCACAGACTGCGACTCTCCACCCACCGCTTGCTGTAGGTCAGGCGGCTTGTTCAGCAGCAGCATCAGCACAATAACACAGAGAGCCACTGATGTTAGCCGTGGCCAAGAATCAAACTCAGCTTTCTATGTTCAGAGTACAGTGCGCTAACCATTGTGCCACCGCTCCACCCTTCCTCGGCTATCTTTTGTGCATTCAGAGGGAATGTTGCACCGGTTGCACTATTTAGCACCCTCATAGTCAACTCGATTGGGCACATATCGCATTCCCGCACGATGCAGTAGGCGAGAGAATATGTGGCTTTGGGAAATGGATTTTCTGTAAAACTCTTGTTATTTGCAGCCTCAAAAAATAATTATTCCGCTAACAAAAAATACCACCACAACATCAAAGGATATGCCATCAAATGACGCGACTTAATTCATTGTTAAGGACATAAATACTGTGTTTTTTTAATGTGCACATCAAAGCGCTGTGTTTATGCATAACTTACGAGCAAAGCGTGCGGTGTGCGATTCGGCTGCCGGCAAGACTGGAGGCTGGGGGATTTCCTGGGGTGAGATTATTAGGAGCAGGAACTGCGCGTACGACTCGGAGGTATAAAGAGCGTGTTCTTGTGATGAGAATACTGAAATTGCATCGCACATATATTTTTTATTAAAATCCTGTACATATCTTTAAAAGCCACAACCGCTCTCTGTAAAATGATATGTAAGCAGAACGCCGTGCTGTCTCCACGTAAAAATGAAAAAAAAAGTTTGAGTCTATCGGCCTCTCCAGAACGATATTATGCAGCAGCAGTAGCATTTGTTTAGACAAGTAGGCAATCTCTGGACTAGTTTAAACTCTTCTGTGTCTCGTCAGCAAAAGTGAGGCCTTGTTAAACCACCACTCCTGCTGTGCTACCAGACGGAGTCTAATAAAGTGTGCCTACTACAGGCGA